TTATTTTATTTTATTGTTTTTATTTTAGAGTTAATTTGTTCCAGTTTGCTGACATGCTAATCAAGAGAGGTGTTGTTAATGCAGTTAATCTTGATGGAGGAGGATCCAGTCTACTAATGGAAGGGGACACTATACTCAATTACCCTGGGGACTACTGGTATCATATCCATATTAATAATACTAGTAAATAATGATGTATTTGTGAGAGGTTATATTTTAATTTTGGTGATTTTTATATTGTTTTTTTATCTTATTTGTTATTTTATGTTGACAAATAATGTAGTAATATTAATTAATAAGTAGCGAGTCTGTGCATCTCATGTTAACATATCTAAGTGTGGCAAGTTATGTACACAAAAAGGGAAGAAAAATGTATTTTTTATCGAGATCTATTCTACATTATATAACAGCTACTTGTCATTTATAGAGGATGGAAATTGCGGAAAAAGGTCTCTTCTCACTATTAGGTCATGCACATTGTCATCTGACATCTGCACAGCCTCTCTTATTGATCTAAAATGTAGTGCTCAATACAACAGGAGTGGCTATCAATTCAATCAACGACTACGCTTTCAGTAATAAAAAATGACTTCTTATTAACTAGAATAATTATTATAAACTAAAACAATTGTTAATAATACAAAGAACTACAGCCAAAATTTTTGTAAAATTATCAGCAGACACACATTTCTTCTAATAAACTAAAATCATAATTTAAACAGAATAAGCATCAGCATCACTAAAACTATGTGTAAAGAGGGAAAGGGATTATTAGACTACAGTATAGCACTAGAAGTAAGTTGTTCTAAATAAGGTGTGTGTTCAAAGTGAAAGAAAGAGAATACAAGAATTGTGAACTAGGGGAGAGTTGGTATAACATTCATTAGATCAAGAAGTTGGTATAACATTCATTAGATCATCGGAGACATAAACTTTATGATAGTAAATCTTTCTTGTGTATTCAATAGTGCCCTGTCTTCAGTACCTGGGACTGCCATGAGGGAAGAATATGTTTTCCCACCCATTTTTTTCAGAAGTTGTGCTATTTCCTTAGATTTAGCAATATCTAATGGTGTCTTTTTATTTTTGCTAATAACATTGACATTAGCATAATTATCTAATAGATACTGGACAGTTGAGGTTGACTTACTACCTGATACTGCATACATTAGAGGAGAATAATTTAGTAGCTTATCTTGTTGATTAACATCAGCTCCATATCTCTGTAGTAACGTTTGTACTACTCTATCACTGCCACAGGAAGCAGCTATCATAAGAGGAGTGAGACCAGTAGATTCTATCAATGGTGTATATAAGAAGTCAAATGATGCTTGTTTTGCTATAACTTGAACAAATAGTGTCATATCATCTGACACACAAGCAGTCAGTATGTCTTTTTTAAGATTTGTAAGGTTTATTTTATCTGCTAATAACTTGATTGATTCCTTATGTCCTCCATAACAAGCTGCTGTTACTGCCTTCTCTATTTCTTCTTGATCAGGATTGTGCTTGTGTAACAGTATATTAATGACTTCAATGCTTCCACTATATGCAGCATAAGAGAGAGCTGATATCCCATTGTTGCTTTTCTGTAACGGATCTGTTTCATATGTCCTTAATAAATGCTCAACTATTTCACTATGTCCATTTTCACAGGTATACATCAGTGCAGTCTTTCCTTTGTTGTCAGTGATATTAGGATCAGCCTTATCCAATAATAATAATAGTATAGCCTCTGTGTATCCTTTACTGCATGCAGTCAATAGTGGAGTCATTCCATTATTATTTTGTGCATTAACATTTATATTCCATGACAGCAGTGTTTGTATGATATCTAGTATATTATCTCCACTGCTGTTAGACAGTAATACATAATGTAGAGCACTATTTCCTTTATTATCACAAATATTAGGATCTGCCCCATTCTCTAGTAGTGTTAGTACTATATCCTTGTGACCACAATCACATGCTAGCATTAAAAATGTTTCCCCAGTTTCTTGTTGATGGTTTATATCATGCGTTTTTCTTAATAATAGTTTAACTACTTCTAAATGTCCTTCACTGCAAGCAGCAACAAGAGATGGATAGGTAAAGTCAAGTTCTGCAACTTGATGGAATGTTTTAGTAAATTGTTCAAAAGTTTTACTTGATGAAAGAGGTTTTTGGGGATCATAACCAGCTTCTAGTAACAAATCCACAACTTGTGTAAGGCCCCACATAGCTGCTAGCATTAGAGTGTAGGAATCATTATCAGGACATCTTAGTGATAACACTTTCAAGACTTCAAGTCTCTTGTCAATACTTACTTGTGATAACACTTCAATGATTTCCTTTGAATCAATTTCCATACCAAATTGAGAAATTTTACCAATATTCATAATTCCTTGCTTCATTGATTGAAGAAATTTCTCTTTTCCTTCATTCAATGCAACCATACCAACTGCACATTGAATCAATGTAAGCTTTAATTGTTTCAAGTTATATAAAACACTTGAACTTCCAGTACTGTTAATAAAAGTAACGTCACCTGTTGATAAGTTACAAATTACTTCACAATTTCCACTAATTGGTACACGAATAATAGCATTAATAAATGGCTTTGGTGGCATAGAAAAAGTTTCACTGACGTTAGCACCAACATTTATTAATTCTGTTAAAATTTCTGACCTTCCAAAATTCACTGCTAAAAGTAAAGGTGTCGTACCTGTCTTATCTATCTTAGCATTGGGATCAGCACCATACTGTAATAATAGTCGCACTATTTCTATATTATCTATTTGTGCGCTACAGGCAATTATTAGAGAAGTAAACTGATCATTAGTTTGTATGTTAGGATCAACTTGTTCCTTCAGCAACAGTTCAACTATTTGAGTGTGACCATTTTGACAAGCCAACATAAAAGCATTCCAACCATCTTTGTCTTGAACATTAGGATTAACTTGTTCCTTCAGCAATAGTTCAACTATTTGAGTGTGACCATTTTGACAAGCCAACATAAAAGCATTCCAACCATCTTTGTCTTGAACATTAGGATCAACTTGTTCCTTCAGCAACAGTTCAACTACTTGAGTGTGACCATTTAGACATGCCAACATAAAAGCATTCCAACCATCTTCCTTTTGAACATTAGGATCAACTTGTTCCTTCATCAACAGTTCAACTATTTGAGTGTGACCATTTTGACAAGCCAACATAAAAGCATTCCAACCATCTTTGTCTTGAACATTAGGATCAACTTGTTCCTTCAGCAACAGTTCAACTACTTGAGTGTGACCATTTAGACATGCCAACATAAAAGCATTCCAACCATCTTCCTTTTGAACATTAGGATCAACTTGTTCCTTCATCAACAGTTCAACTATTTGAGTGTGACCATTTTGACAAGCCAACATAAAAGCATTCCAACCATCTTTGTCTTGAACATTAGGATCAACTTGTTCCTTCAGCAACAGTTCAACTACTTGAGTGTGACCATTTAGACATGCCAACATAAAAGCATTCCAACCATCTTCCTTTTGAACATTAGGATCAACTTGTTCCTTCATCAACAGTTCAACTATTTGAGTGTGACCATTTTGACAAGCAGACATAAAAGCATTCCAACCATCTTTATCTTGAACATTAGGATCAACTTGTTCTTTCAGCAACAGTTCAACTATTTGAGTGTGACCATTTTGACAAGCCAACATAAAAGGATTCCGACCATCTTTCTTTTGAACATTAGGATCAACTTGTTCCTTCAGCAACAGTTCAGCTATTTGAGCGTGACCATTTTGACAAGCCGACATAAAAGCATTCCAACCATCTTGCTTTTGAACATTAGGATCAACTTGTTCCTTCAGCAACAGTTCAACTATTTGAGTGTGACCATTTTGACAAGCCAACATAAAAGCATTCCAACCATCTTTATCTTGAACATTAGGATCAACTTGTTCCTTCAGCAACAGTTCAACTACTTGAGTGCGACCATTTTGACAAGCCGACATAAAAGCATTCCAACCATCTTTCTTTTGAACATTAGGATCAACTTGTTCCTTCAGCAACAGTTTAACTATTTGAGCATGACCATTTAGACATGCCAACATAAAAGCATTCCAACCATCTTTGTTTTGAACATTAGGATCAACTTGTTCCTTCAGCAACAGTTCAACTACTTGAGTATGACCATTTAGACATGCCAACATAAAAGCATTCCAACCATCTTGCTTTTGAACATTAAGATCAACTTGTTCCTTCAGCAACAGTTCAACTATTTGAGTGTGACCATTTTGACAAGCCAACATAAAAGGATTCCGACCATCTTTCTTTTGAACATTAGGATCAACTTGTTCCTTCAGCAACAGTTCAACTACTTGAGTGTGACCATTTAGACATGCCAACATAAAAGCATTCCAACCATCTTTGCTTTGAACATTAGGATCAACTTGTTCCTTCAGCAACAGTTCAACTACTTGAGTATGACCATTTAGACATGCCAACATAAAAGCATTCCAACCATCTTGCTTTTGAACATTAAGATCAACTTGTTCCTTCAGCAACAGTTCAACTATTTGAGTGTGACCATTTTGACAAGCCAACATAAAAGGATTCCGACCATCTTTCTTTTGAACATTAGGATCAACTTGTTCCTTCAGCAACAGTTCAACTACTTGAGTGTGACCATTTAGACATGCCAACATAAAAGCATTCCAACCATCTTTGCTTTGAACATTAGGATCAACTTGTTCCTTCAGCAACAGTTCAACTACTTGAGTATGACCATTTAGACATGCCAACATAAAAGGATTCCAACCATCTTTATCTTGAACATTAGGATCAACTTGTTCCTTCAGCAACAGTTCAACTATTTGAGCACGACCATTTAGACATGCCAACATAAAAGCATTCCAACCATCTTTCTTTTGAACATTAGGATCAACTTGTTCCTTCAGCAACAGTTCAACTATTTGAGTGTGACCATTTGCACAAGCCAACATAAAAGCATTCCAACCATCTTTGTCTTGAACATTATGATCAACTTGTTCCTTCAGTAATAGTTCAACTATTTGAGCGTGACCATTTGCACAAGCCAACATAAAAGCATTCACTCCATCTTTGTTTTGAACTTTGGGATCAACTTGTTCCTTCAGCAACAGTTCAACTATTTGAGTGTGACCATTTTCACAAGCCAACATAAAAGCATTCACTCCATCTTTGTTTTGAACATTAGGATCAACTTGTTCCTTCAGCAACAGTTCAACTATTTGAGTGTGACCATTTTGACAAGCCAACATAAAAGCATTCCAACCATCTTTGTTTTGAACATTAGGATCAACTTGTTCCTTCAGCAACAGTTCAGCTATTTGAGCGTGACCATTTTCACAAGCCAACATAAAAGCATTCACTCCATCTTTGTTTTGAACATTAGGATCAACTTGTTCCTTCAGCAACAGTTTAACTATTTGAGTGTGACCATTTAGACAAGCTGGCATAAAAGCATTCACTCCATCTTTGTTTTGAACATTAGGATCAACTTGTTCCTTCAGCAACAGTTCAGCTATTTGAGCATGACCATTTTCACAAGCCAACATAAAAGCATTCACTCCATCTTTGTTTTGAACATTAGGATCAACTTGTTCCTTCAGCAACAGTTTAACTATTTGAGTGTGACCATTTAGACAAGCTGGCATAAAAGCATTCACTCCATCTTTGTTTTGAACATTAGGATCAACTTGTTCCTTCAGCAACAGTTCAACTATTTGAGTGTGACCATTTTCACAAGCCAACATAAAAGCATTCCAACCATCTTTGTTTTGAACTTTGGGATCAACTTGTTCCTTCAGCAGCAGTTTAACTATTTGAGCGTGACCATTTAGACAAGCCAACATAAAAGCATTCACTCCATTTTTGTTTTGAACATTAGGATCAACTTGTTCCTTCAGCAAAATTTCAACTATTTGAGTGTGACCATTTAGACAAGCTGGCATAAAAGCATTCCAACCATCTTTCTTTTGAACATTAGGATCAACTTGTTCCTTCAGCAACAGTTCAACTATTTGAGTGTGACCATTTTCACAAGCCAACATAAAAGCATTCCAACCATCTTTGTCTTGAACATTATGATCAACTTGTTCCTTCAGCAACAGTTCAACTATTTGAGTGTGACCATTTTGACAAGCCAACATAAAAGCATTCCAACCATCTTTGTCTTGAACATTATGATCAACTTGTTCCTTCAGTAATAGTTCAACTATTTGAGTGTGACCATTTGCACAAGCCAACATAAAAGCATTCCAACCATCTTTCTTTTGAACATTAGGATCAACTTGTTCCTTCAGCAACAGTTCAGCTATTTGAGCGTGACCATTTTCACAAGCCAACATAAAAGCATTCACTCCATCTTTGTTTTGAACATTAGGATCAACTTGTTCCTTCAGCAACAGTTCAACTATTTGAGTGTGACCATTT